TTCCCCACTTAGCATCAAAATCAATAATACTGTTATATACTTCTATTTCTTCCATATCATACTATCATTTGACAATAATATCCACATAGTGATCCTCTGGTTTTGAATGGTTTAGGACCATTCAACCTGTTTTTCCTGCAATTACTTGTCTCAGTAAATGACATTACCCACCACACAATTTCCCGAGCAAAGCTTTTGAGAGTCCCCTTTATTTCATCCCCTATCCACTCACTATTGTTGAATGTTCTTTGTATATAATTTCTAAAATACCTCTGAGATCTATCCAGATATCTATTCAGCTTTAGCTTTCATGCTCAGAATTTTAGATTTAGTTCCTTCTTATAATTTCCATTTAAGTCTTTGAATATATTTTCTATTAATTTATTGAACATAGTTATATTAGCTATCTTAAAATCTTTGATAAATTGAACACATGGGTCATCTTGAAAGCTGTTTCTATTGATTACCTTTTGTAAAATTATGATCATATCCTCACTATCCAGAAGGAACAGGATTGATAGAAAAATGGAATTGCCTTTTGAAGATGCTGTTACAGTGCCAGCTAGGTAGTAAAAGCTCGCAGGGCTGGGGCAAGGTTCTTCAGAAGGTTGTATATGCTTTGAATCAGCACCCACTCTATGGTACTATGTCTCCCATAGCCTGGATTCGATCAAGGGGTGGCAGTGGGAATGGTACCACTCACCATTACCCCTAATGATCTACTAGTAAAATTTTTGCTTCCACTTCCCATTACTTTATCTTCTGCTCACCCAGAAGTCTTAGTTCCATAGGAAGGCAGACTTGTAACAGAAAGCACACTGATAATTCCACTGAACCCATGGAAACTAAGACTTCCCTCTGGTCCTTTTGGTCTCCTCATACCTGTGAATACACAAGCTAAAAAGGGAGTTATAGTGTTGGCAGGGTGATTATCCCAGGCTGTCAAGGGGGAAATTGGATTGTTACTCCACCGTTGAGGAAAGGAGAACTCTTAGAGCACTTCCTAGTATTACCTTGCCCTGTTATTAAGGTCAGTGGGAAATGATACTAACCCAGTGATAACAAAAGGCTCAGAATCTTCAAGAATGAAGGTTTGGGCATCCCACCAGGGAAAGAACCAAGACTTGCTGAAGTGATTGCTAAAAATCAAGGGAATACAGAAGAAAAGGGTGATTACAAATACCATCTATAACCCCCCTTTTATAACCGCTTGATCAGTTACAGAAAAGAGGATTGTAGTTATAATAGTTCCTAATAGGCTTCCTATGTAATATGATGCTGATAGACTCAACATTGGTTCTTAAGTATTGTTAAACTATGTTACAATGTTTAAGTTATGAAATGTTAGAGATAAGCATCACCCAAAGAAAACTTGCCTTCTATTCTGGGGAGGGCATTAGCATTTCCGTTGGTATGCAGAATAGTTTTAGCATGTTAGGCGTAACTATAAACTTATCTTTGCATCTAGAAAATAAGTACGGCTTAAGGAAATGTGTCTGGTTCTCAGTTTAACAAGGGATGGATTGTGAGTGTTAACTGTTGTGTCAATTTGAGTAAGAAATACCCAACTAAATAGGATCAACATAGTTTTGAGTGTGGCTGAATAGATTTACTGAAGATAGATTTACACCCATCTGGGTGTGAGCAGCACCAACCCATAGAGTTGTAGCCTGAAAGGAATAAAAAACATCTCTTTGCTTCCTGCCTCTCTAATTTACTGGTATTTAATTTTCAAAGTGTTTTATCTGAGAATCTCACCTGAAAATCTTATCAAGACTTAGTTTTACACTTTTTTTCTGATGGACCCAGAATAGTAAGTGCTTTAGGACAGTTTTCCAATCTTTTTTTAAAATTATTTGCCCTCCAAGACTTTTTAGGCTTTTTTCTCTCAATTATAGTCTCCTTGCTAAATTTTCATACCCAAAATATAACTATATATCTGTTTGTGTGCTATAATTCTTAAGAGGGCTACTCTTTAAAGTAGCTCATGGGACTTTCTCTGTGATCAGTCTCTTACCTCCTTCTCCAGCCTTGGCTTTTGTTGGTCTGTCTTCAACCCATGTACGTGTCATACTGATCTTTTCAAATGTGTGATGATGTTACTTTCCTTTGCATATTTATCCTTCTATGTGTGAAATTCCCTCTTTCTGGCCCCTCACCTTGTTTGGATAACCATTTTTCAACCTTCAGGTAGTAGGATAGCCTTACCTTTTTCTAGAAGGCCAGTATCAGTGTAGAACCTTGCTTTATTCTCCATGTAATACCCTACTGTAGCTAGTTATTTAACAGTTTTCCTTTTTCTTCTGCTTACTTCCACTACAAATAAGGTCTATAAAGGTGTTACGGTTTGTGTTTGGATGTGTCCCCCCAAAGCCTCATGCAGTCATGGGATGGGCTTCTAGAGTTTTTGATTGATCCATGGTCCAATGTTGGGATTATGGGTGTGAGTGCTACACCGCTCTGGGGCAGGTAGTTTGCATACAGTATAAGGAAGGGAAAGAAGCTCCCTCTTCCTGCCCGCTCCTCCCTTTTGCTCTTGCTGCTTTTGTCATCTTCTGCTGCCATGAACTGTTGCCATCTGCCATGTGCCACTCTGCCTTGGAGCCAGCCAAGTATGGACTGAAACCTCCACAAACAGTGAGCTAAATAAACCTTTCCTTCCTTAATTTCGGGCCTTGGGTGTTTTGTCTCAGCCATGAGAGAAAAGTAACCAAGACAAAAGGTATTATTTTCTCTATCTTACCTAGTACTTACTTATAGTCCTTAGTACAATGCTTAGTGCATAACCAGGTATTCCATTAATATTTATATACTAAATAAATGCATGAATGAATACATAGAGTATGTTTATTCCATTTTTCATAAAACGGTTCTTCAGATGACAGGGTAACAGTCATAGATTCCTTAGTCTTCTCTTCTCCTGGCTACATACCCAGAGATCATAATGGAAAAGATAAAATATTTGTAGCAGGAGTGGGCAGGCTGTGACTCTTAGGCCAGATCTAGCTTGCTGTTTGCTTTTGTAAATAAAATTTTATTGAAACACAGTCATGCCAATTTCTATACAAACTACCTGTAGTTATTTTCTTTCCACCATGGCAGTGCTGAGTTACTATGACAGAGATATATGATGCATGCAGGCTAAAATATTTACTTCCTGGCCCTTTACAGAAAAAGTTTTGTTAGCACTGGTCTATAGCCTTCTCATTTATTTAAATGGAAGAAGCCTGGGATATATGTTAAAGTTGATACTGAAGGTTATATACTAGACTTATTGGAGGTCAGAAATGAACTTTGAAATCTCTGTAGCTTAATATTTATTTATAATTCATGCATATTTCTGCATTTCTTGGGCAATTTCCCAGAGGTCTGCTCTCCATACAGTGGTTCAGAGATCCAGATAGCTTCCATCTTGTGTTCTACCCTGTCTTCCTGACTGTCTGGCAGAGGAAGAGGTAGCTGGATGGCCTTCAGTCAATGGGACTCAAAGTACACTTATCACTTCTGCTCATCTGAGTCATATGCCCCTACCTAGGGAAAGGGTGGTGGGAAGAGAGAAGAGCACCTAGGAATTTTATGAACAGTAAGTATCTCTGTCATGAAAAGATTGCCTGAAAATGATTAAACGTACTCGGGGAGAATTTTAACTTAACGTTTTCATTATCAGTAATCTTGCAAATGCACTCTCTCACACACTGCATTATAATTATGCTTTTTATTTTACAGGTACCATACACAAAGTATTAAATTATCATTAAGAGTAAATATAAGGAATTTTTAAAACAAGAAAATTCAAAACCACTTTCTTTTAAAGTTAGGGTGTACTGGTTCTTACATGTTCAATTTCATTTAAAAATATTCAAAAGACACAATCCTTCAAGAATATATCATGAAAACTAACTGAAATACTGTAACATTTTAAATGGCCTGAAGAACTTCTCAGACATGAGGATCCATTATCAACACTCTGTCTGTGTACATTGAAAATTACCCTTTTACTGCAGTATTATTTAGAGTAAGGATGTTTGAATCTTCTTTCCCCCCACTTTTGTCTGTTTTAAGCAATGGAACTCTTTCAACAAATGAAATTTTGGGAGGAAACCAACTTATAAAATACGGGAAAGGAAGCTGCTGTTATCCAAGAGAGGTGGCTTTGGACTCCTATCTACTCAGTCTCTTTTTATTGCTCCCTGAATGAATACCTTTGTGGTGTGTTTGAAGAGTGGAAAATCCCCGCTTTGAGTCATGTACAGGTCAGAATTTTAAATTGTACAACTACAGATTTTAGGACTCAAAGGAAATTTAGGAACCACCTAGTCTGATTCCACTTGTAGTAACTGTTACTTAATAGCATTGGAAGTATAGGACAACAACCAACCTGTGTGCCAGATCTGAAAAGTAGGGACTATCAACCAAAAATAACTAAAAAATGTCAAAGATGTTATTTATTCTTATCTTGCAGAAAGACTAGTAATTTAGGTCAAGATATATTATGAAGGGAATTTTCCAATTCATACTATTTAATTTCTATTTTTAATAACATATTAAATCACCTAAGAACCAGACACCAAAACAAAATCCAGGATCTTTACAGTAATCTACTTTATGCCCTCCCTAACCCATTTCCTTGCCTGTTCCTTTCTGAATCCTTCACCATTCTGAACCCGATCTTCATATTTCCTCTTTGTATAGTTTCATTGCTCCCTTCCTTCCTTTCTGCCTCCCCCCTCCACACTCCTTCCCACTCCTCTTTCCTTCCTGCTTTCTTTTCTTTTCCTGGTATAGGGGGTTGAACCCATGACCTTGGACATGTTAGGCAAATGCTCCACCACTGAGATATATTTCTCTCTGTCTTTGTGTCTGTCTCTCTTTCTGTTACTCTCTTTCTTTCTGTGCTTTTTTAAAGTAAAAAAATAGGACATCAATCTATTTATAATCTTTTGAGATTTGTTTGTTGTAATTCAGTGTTATATTACTAAGAATCATTCATACTCTTTCAGGTTATAATGAAGATTTCCACAGGAAAACACCTGGGAAATAGGCAACCAGGACGTGACGATATACATGGTGCATAGACAGCCACAAGGCAAGTATCCACCATCCTAGGCCCCTAGATAATCCTCTCTGCCCTTCTACCCATGCTCCATGAGAAGGCAGCATTGTTGTCCATTGTATCACTATAACAGTTTATCCATCTACTCTCCAGTGAAGGGGAAGTGTGTGTTCACGATGTAGTGTAGAGTGAAGTCTGTGGATACTCTTTTATACGCCTTTCTGTACAAGTGCAAGTGTTTGTTTTGGGTAGTTACCTAGGAGCTGAATGATTGGGTCATAATAATATGTGAGTTTCTCAGTTCAGGAAGCAATTTTAAACTGTTTTCTGTCTCTTTAGCCGATGTTTTTCCACCTTTTCTTTTGGAACAGTATCTGCTTAGCTCTGTCCCTGCCATCTCCATTCCCTCTCCTGTGCTAAGACCTGCACTAAATCTCCTCTGAAGGCTAACTTTGGAAACAGATCCCGTCAGTCACCTACTTTCACCTTAGATCTCATTGGTCTGGTTAGCAATTGCTGCTCCTGACATAGGCGTAGAAACATTGTCAGGGCCACTGCAGGTTTAGTCGCATCTCACTGCTGAGTTCTGTGGTGCTGCCATATTGACTTTCCTAGCTGCTCAAATCCTGACAGTTCTTTGGCATGTGTCTTGCTTTTTTGTTTCATGCTCCTTAGCTTGACACTAAATGTTGAGGAAAGGTAACCCTTGGAGTGCGGTGACTTCCAGTTCCCTGGTCCTTCTTCACCTCAGGCAGCTGAGACATCCTTAAAGCAGAGATGACAGCACTCAAATGGTGTACAGTACAGAACACTAATGAGTGAGCTAGGACCCAAGAGTAGTGTAACACTGCCTGGACTATGGAGGCCTGATGATGGGATAGCCTCTGCTCAAAGGGCTGCTCCCAGATATTTTGATTTTCTAGAAGAAAATAGAGATCTAGATTTTCTATGTAAAATCTGTTGATCTTAGAGTGTCAACAGTTTGTTTGGTATTTGCAAAAAACATTGGGTAGGCCAAGCAAAATACATGGGACCTGGACTCAGCCCATGGAACATTGTTTTGCGAATGTTGGCCTGTCTGCATTTTGCTTTGCTGTTGGCTTGTCTGGCTGTTCTGGCCAGGGAGTCACCCTCTGTGGAGAGATGCTTCATTATCACATCTGTGAGATTAACTTTGTTTTGCAAGGGGTCTGATACTGAAAGCAGGCAGGACAATATCTGATTACTTAGTCTTTTTACTTCACTATTTACCTTAAGTGCTTCTATCAGATGCTGGTGCTTGGTAAGCCAACTTATTTTGATAAATTTAGTAAAATATAGATGCTACAAGGAAGGACTTTCTTTTTAACTATTGAAAAAGTATGTATGACAAGAGACCATGTATTTTATTATTCAATGCTTCTTCTATCTTTTCGCACTTGAAAGTTTCCATACCAGCTTTTGCTCTAATATTAATCAGGTGGCCCTGACATCAGCAGGTGCTGGATTCCCTCCACCCTCATCTTACCATAACATGCTGGTGAGCTAAAAGGCAGTCTTTTGACTTTAGAAAAAGATCTTTGACTGCCTACCACCTTAGAAGTGTTCGCCACCTAAAGCAGAGCTTTCTTGAAACAGAAAACCTTTGCTTTCCTTAGAATTATTTGGCACATTCTAAGGGAGGATGTGATCAGTATCATCTCAAGAAATCAAGAAAGCACCTCATACATCATAGCTTTTTTCTAGGTTCTGGAGTCAGTAGTAGACTCAATATTTTTTGAGCTGGGTCTGCTGGTCTGCCAAGTGTAGGATTATAGATGAGATCTCTGAGATCTAGTGGAGTCTGTTAGAGCAAGGTGCACAGGGTTGTAGGTTTCATCTCCATACTGTATTGCAAATGTGTAGTCTCAGACTCAAGAAGGGTTAGATTACTGAACAAATACTTCATCACCAGAGAAAAAGGGAACTCATTTTACATGTGCTGTTGGATGTGGTAAGTGATATCATCTGCGGTTGGCGTCAGCATCTGTACCTCCTAAATGTGGGGAGGCCACTTACTTCCCATGAAATTTCACAGCACATGTAATATAGGGCACATGAGGTTAAATAACCAATGGAAATTTCAATGGCTTCCAAAAAATATAACAAAAAGGAGTCTTATAGCTAGTAGGGCTTGGATTGAGTTCTTATGACCAAGTTGGAATTCTCATTAGACTAGGCAAAGTGTTTTTGTGTGCTTCTGTGTTTGCATAAAGTTGTACACAGGCATCCTACAACAGTGCTGTCTCCTCATGGAACAGGGGTAGAAGGGTAGAGAGGATTGTCTATGGGCCTAGGGTTGTGGATACTTGCCTTGTGGCTGTCTAGGCACCGTTTATATCTTCACGCCCTAGTTACCTATTTCCCAAGTGTTTTCCGTGGAAATCTTTATTATAAGAAGGACAACGTTTTTACCTGTACTTACTGTTTTAAGACTATTTAAAAATTATTTTTACTATGAAAATTTGCAAAGAAAGTAATGAGAATCAAATGAATGAACATCCATAGACACACCATGTGGGTTCAGCAATTGTCAATATTTTGCTATATCTATTCCATCATTATTTTTTGCTGTTATTTTACCCTTACAAAATTTTTCTAAAACAATGATAGTTTTCTTAATAGACACAACACTATTATCACTCATTAAAATGAAGTATAATTCCTTAATGTCATTAAGTTCATATTTTCCTGTTATCCCCACAACGTTTTTGCAGCCAGTTTATTTAGCTCAGAACCCACTGGCAAGCAATGCATTTCATTTGGTTATGTTTCTTAAGCGTTTTAGAATTACCATTTCTCACCCACGCCATGCATGCATGTGTGCGTGTGTGTGCGTGTGTGTGTGTGTGTGTGTATGTCCACATGTGATTTGTTGATGAGGTAAACCGGTTGGTCTGTACTGTATCTCACTGTCTGTATTTGTCTGATTTTTCAGGTTGAGTTTTGATGCTTTGCATTTGGTGTTGAAAATGGTGTAGGGTCTGGAGGTTGGCAGTGAATAGGAGCCCCTGCTCACAGACAGCTTCTGATGGTGAGGATACACAGAGGAAGCAGGAATCTTCCATATTCAATCTCCTGCTTCAAAGGTTGACAGGAAAGACAGATAATCATGTTAATATACAGGTCCATAGTCATTTCCAAAATAGCAAGGAGGTATTTGTTCTCTCTCTTAGGCCGTAGCACAGAGCTTGAGTATGTAACTATCCTATTTGGTATGTATTTTAAATAGTGTACCCTGAATAAAATAAGATAAAGCCAGATAAGAGGCAGAAAAATGAAAGGGATCTGAAACTATGAAGAGGTCACAGAGAATTTCTAAGGGCCTGACATCTTCATTTTGTTTTTACTTCCCTGAGTTTATTCATTTCTCTTGGCGATAGAGAGCTCAGATTTGCATAAAGAATTACAGAGGACTAAATATCTTGAGAGAAGCTGATGACAGACCTTAAGATTGGGGAAGATGGCAGCCACAGCAGGGAGGTTAGTGTGGGGAGGCACATGGTGTCATGCGTTGTGGTTTGAATCTAGTGTCCTCCCCTCTGGTACACTCAGAGATGAGGCTTTTCAAGGGTGGCTGGCTCGTGGGGCTCTGTGCTAATTGGATTCATGCACTGGTGAGTTCAGCAGCTGAGTGAACTTTTAGGAGTTGGGGCCTGGTTAGAAATGGGCCACTGGAAGTGTGACCTAGAAGGATGTACCTCCTTCCAGGCTCCTCTTTTCTCTCTATGCTTCCTGGTCACCATGCTGTGAGCGGCTTTCCTCCATGGCAGGCTCTTCCTCCGTGCTGTTTCCACCTGGAAGCCTGCCAAGCATGGACTTAAAATTCTGAAACCGTGAGCCAAAATAAACCTCTCCTCCTTTAAGTTGTAGGTGTCAGGTACTGCATCTCAGCATGGAGGAAAGTGACTACTACAATGAATTTTAAGTAGGCACGAACCTGAGCACTGTTTATCGTTTTGGTGTTCCAGTATGCTTAAACCAAATTCCAAGAGGATGCCTTTTTTTCCCTTTATGAGTGTTTGCTAATAAGTGAGGTTATTAGGAGTTGATGTTGATTGATATGAATTTAGATTTCTCCTTTCTTCTCCCATCCAAATTTTAGTAAATAATGCAATGGCTAGAAGTGTTTAGAAAGATGAGAGAAGTCAGAGGCTTGGGGAGCTGCAGAGTTAGATGATGTGTAACTGAACAATGCTGAGTAGAATACACAAATCAAAAGTGATCTAAGCTCTGTTAGAGGAGAAACTCATATGGGTCTGGCCCTGACTTAATGACACTGAATTAGTGTTTCAAGTCTAAAAATGGCTAGAGGTGATATTTCCTGTTTGTCTTTCACAAAGCTGGGAGCAATTTTCATATCCTATTCTCTACACCATGATCTCTGCAACGTCTCTGACCTCTACAGAATGAAAAGTGATTTTTAGTGCTTTGTTTTAGCATTCACAATGACAAACCTTCCAGAGAAGGTTCCTTTTCTTCCTACCATCTGGATAAATGGAAGAATAGTACCAAGAGGTAGGTGTTTAGACCAGTTAGGATGTTTGATGGGCCAGTGGGGGTGGGTTTTAGTGTTAAAATTTTATTTTTGGGAGTTATGCTATTCATATACTATTATCCAGACATGATGGTGGGTTTGGGCACTACCTACCTTCATGTTGTAGCTGTATTTTAAATTTTCATCTTAAAAAAACTTTCCTACTTACTAGAGAAGTGAAGAAAGAAAACAAAAATCAGAAAACCCTCCAGAAATAAAAAGTTAGAAATGTTTATTTCGGACAGCAAAATCTGTTTGCCACTGAGACTAACACAATTTTGGGTGACACTGGGATGCTGTTTTCACTACTGCTTCCTTTTTTATATTACCTTCCCACTGTCAGGCACCCCTCCGCATACATCTGGATATCCAGGTGTTTATAGGGCCCCCATGTGGGTTCTGGAATCCTCAGTATTCACTTGTCTGTGGCATCCCATTGAGAATACTTCTGGAAGGCTATTCCCTTTCTCATTCTGAA